CCCCAAAACCCCAAAACCCCAAAACCCCAAAACCCCTATTTAATTTAAATTAGTTGAAATAATTATCTTCCAGCAAAATCAATATCTGGCTCCTTGAAATTAGTGAACTTCTTTGGATTAAATTCCTTAGAGCATCTGGCCATTACTTGAGAATTTCTTGAAATAGAATCAGTCATGTAGAAGTTGTCAATTGGGTCTTCAAATGTGGTTCCATTCATCTCAGAGCTTCCACGCTTGTTCTTGACAACAAGATCTTCGAAGCCTGATGACTCAAGAGCATCATATTTAATAAGATGTGGGGCTAAATCGGACATTCTAGATCTCAGCTCTTCAATGCTGTCATAAGGAAGTGGAGCTCCAAGTTCTTCAGATAATGCTCTAAGAATAGTCCAATCTTCTCTGGCTAGGGCTGGGGCTGTGACAGCTTTTCTACCAATCTGGGTTCTTCCGTCCATATTAACATAACTTCCATGCTTCTCAAGATATGAGGATCCTGGGAGGACAAGATCAGCGAAGTTAGCTCCTTTATCTCCATTATGTCCTTGATAGATCACAAAGGCATCTTCTGGGATATCTTCTTCTCTGAATTCATCAGCTGCGAGCAAGTATACCAATTTCTTGTTTTTGATATTATCCTTCCCAGAGTAAGGTTGAATTCCAAGATCAAGGGCTCCAACTCTTCCAATGTCATTATGCAATACGTTCATTCCGTTCCATCGCTCTTCGTGGTTGATCACATTAGTGCTCTCTGCGATTGCCTTGATGTTGTTCAAAATAGCTTCTCCATCATCTCTGCTGAGAGCATGACTGGAGACAATGACCATTGGACGCTTGGCCTCACGCAGTTTCTCAAAGGCAGGGTGGGATCCATCAGCAATCTCCTTCAAAGTGTCTGTGGTGGTACCGTGGTGGCTGTATCTGTGCTTTAAATTTGGAGCATATCCGACAATTCCAACTTCAAGACCGTGCTCATCTACTCTTGACCTAATTCTAGAGCACAGAAGAGGTGCTTCAGTTCTAATATTAGATCCGACCATAAGCACATAGTCTGCATCTTCAACTCCTGGGATAGTTGAGTTGAACAAATACTCTGACCTAAGATTGGCATTTAGCTTTGGTGCAATAGAGCTTGACTCAACATGCTCACATCCAAGTCTATGAAGTAAATCTCTGAAGGCAAGAGTGGATTCAAGATCAGCCAGTTTACCAACAAATCCGGCAATTTCATCTCCTGAAACTTGATCAAATTGGTCTCTCATAATATCCATAGCTTCCTCCCATTTCAACTCTTTAATATCTCCTCCAGGAGTTTTGAGAATTGGGAATGAAAGTCTCTGCTTCTTGAGTCCATCGAAGGCATGTCTGGTCTTATCAGAGATCCATTCAAGGTTAATCTCTTCGTGGACTCTAGGTAGAATTCTCATCAATTCACCTCCTCTATAATTTACTTCGATTGCTGATCCCATCCCATCGAGAACATCGATACTATAAACAGACTTGAGTTCCCATGGCCTAGCTACGAAGGTGTAGGGAAGATGAGTGAGGGCTCCGACTGGGCATAAATCAACAGCATTGGCAGATAGCTCATTAGTAACCAAAGCTTCAACATATGTACCAATCTCAGTATAGTTCCCTCTTCCTGTAGTTCCAAGAGTATGCTCTCCTGCAACTTGCTCAGTGAATCTAATACATCTGGTACAGTGGATGCATCTGTTCATTACTGTGCGGATAATTGGGCCAAGGTATTTATCTTCTACTGCTCTCTTGTATTCGTTGAATCTTGACTCTTGGTATCCGTAGACCTGGGAAATATCTTGAAGATCACACTCTCCTCCTTGATCGCAGATAGGACAGTCGAGAGGATGGTTTGCTAGTAAGAACTCCAGAACACCACCTCTTGCAACTTTAGTAGTTTCAGATTTGGTATTGACCTTCATATTTGGCATGACATTCATGGCGCAAGAAGCAACTGGTTTCGGAGCTCCTTCAACTTCAACGAGACACATCCTACAATTACCGGCAACTGCAAGTCTCTCATGGTAGCAGAACCTAGGGATGGTAACTCCAGCTTCATGACAGGCTTGGAAAATAGTGTATGAGGAATCAACAGTAATCGGCTTTCCGTCAACAAATATATCAAACTTGTTATTCAAAGTTTGGGTAGGTCTGAAGTACCTCACTGGAGCTGTAAACAGCTTCCTATTCCGTCTCAATAATTGCGTGAACATCTTTTAATAATTATTATAATATTATATTTCAGTTATAATTAGGCATTGGGGTTTTGGGGTTTTGGGGTTTTGGGGTTTTGGGGTTTTGGGG